CAGGGCAAGCAAGCACATCAGCTTTTTAAGCCCGTCCTTCATGTCCTGGGGCAAAGAGGTTAATTCCTCATTCCCCACAGAGGAGCAGTCTAAACGACTCAGGTGTAGACTGACTACAAGGGTTACCAAGTGCAGCAGGGCTGTCGTAGCTTAGCGCTTGAGAAAGCGTACTTTAGGTCACCGAACCAATACGAGTGTAGCGGATCGCAATCCGCTAACTCTAAGAGTAGTTGATAAGTTAACCAAGGCTAATAAACTCTTTGGTGTTAAATTCAAAACTGATTTTGATTATTTTTATCTGCGGCAAAACCGCCTTATATTAAAAGTTTAGATTTTCCTATATATACTGAATACATAGTAAAATCTAAATAGCATGTGGCAACCTAGCCACATACCGCATTCTTGTTTGGGTGCAGTCACACCATGCACATCTCGTGTGACACACACCCCTGTTACCAGGGTACGTGTAACCCCGTTACACTACGGCAGCCCCGCTGCAGTAATAGACTAGATTAATTGTAATTTCAGAAATAAAACTGACCCACTTCCTTCATTTGTAATTCATCCTGTACTATTTTTAATCGTAATAGTGTCGATGTGCCGGCAAGGTGAGACTCTGCGTACTGTCATCGTGAAGAGTTTACCTCCTACACGTGATGTGTTTTTTCTAAGTCTTTTGACTTTTAAATTAGTGACAACAATAATCATGCACTTGTAACCTACTCGAGATCGTAGTGCCTTATTCAGCTACAATTTTTTCAGCGCTTGCAACACCATCAGCTCTTCCCTGATAATTTCTATCTAAAATAACTTTTCGATTCTTTTACTTCGCTATATAATCATACAGCTTTTAAGACACGGTAAAAGATCGATATGTCCACGTAGCCCGCGTGTTATCTGTGTACTCAGCAAATTGGCACGTCAGCTTGGCTGTGAGATACTTTTGCGTTGGGTATCGTACAGAGAGTCAAATACACGTTAGTGTCATACTTTTGGCATCTGCATATAAGATAAAGTCGCAGGCTGTGACGTCCAGAGACGCCGTGTTTTTAGAGGAATCGGTGAAAAATAATTGACATCCAACAAACACTCAGAAGCTCACTTTGGACAGTTTCCATGATGATTTTAATAATTCTCGAGATGTTTTGCAGCTAACTTTTACCCTGATATGTTTCTGAAACATGATCTCATTTTCTCACTAGTATTCAATGACATGTTGTAACGATCGTCTAACTTAAGTCGAGAACTGGTCAATTTCTTTAAACGATGGAATCAGGAAGTAGTTGTTTCATGATAAACCAAACATTTAACTTTTCATATTTGTAAAATTCGAAGTGTATAGAATGCATTTTTTTTCTAGAGTTACCTAAATAATGAACAAACATCCCACTTACTCGTCTAAGAGTCGAGACAAAAAAGCGTACATGAGCATGTTCGCTCTCACGTCCATTTAGATGAATGATGATTTCGTGGCTGTTAATCCCAGTTATGATGAGATCCACTTATTCAGGATAATTAAGTCATTTGTAATTTCTCGCCAAAAAATCATTAAAGAAAAAGTCTGCCCATCTGAAATCGGTCAATAAACTTATGTCTTTGACGGCTTGATCGCCTTCTGTATTTCTTTTACAAGGGCTTTTGCCTCCTTACTAGAAGGTCTGGCATCAGCACAATAAAAAACAATCTTCTCGTTCGATAAAAACTTCTGCAATGTGGGCAACACAGACGTGGCAACGTCAGCATTCAAAGATACTGCGTTTGCTACCCAACGGTCGAATTCGGAGCTCCGAGCGACGATCGCTTTTTCCAGCATTAGTGTCTTCATTCGTAATTCCAATACATGTTCAACTACTTCTTTCATCATTTTTTTAGCGGCACCGCCTTCAGCATTAAGGTACGCATCACCAATGGCATCAAATTTGATCCTTTGTCGCTCCAAACGATGGTATAAAAAGCTGGCAGCAGTTTTTCCCTCCTTTTTAGGCAGAGAAAAGTACCATTTTTGAACGTTAGGTAAATTAATGACGTCAAGTAGTCGCCGAGTGCCAAAGTGTCGAACAAGGAGTCCACCTCCTAGTTGCTCACCAATAGTCCTTGAGTCACCACCTCTCGATTGTAAATTCTCACTGAGTCGAAACAGCGATGATTCAAAATATTCGCTATGAACCAGCAACTCGTCTATAAAGTAATCATCAAAAAGTAATTTGCCATTGACAAGCTGAGCAGTCGAAATGGCGTCGACCAGTCTTTTGCGGTCGAGATTCTGTAGTGCGGCATCCATGATGATAGCCCTTAGTCTCAGGTCTTCTGGAAAGGCGTCCACAATAATTTTTGACCAAGTTTGGAACTCATGGCTTGTGAAAAGATCTCCCTTTGCCTTGTCAACGTGGGCATTCATTAGTAGTATGGTAGCTGCTTCATCAGGATTATAGGCGTCTCTCAAGTAGAGATGGGGCTCTCTTCTACCCTCCCGTTTAGATGACAATATTGGATGAGCAACATCATCGTCAACCAGATTCTTCGTGTTGCTGGTAGTCAGTTCAAAGAAGAGTTTACCTTCTATTCGATCACCAATGCTCTTGTATTTTTTCCATCTAAGATCCTTTGGGCCACCGTGTAATTTCTGCAAATATTTACTATAGTTGAACAGTGCGTCGTCAAGACGATCAGCAAATTCTTTTTGAACACCCTTGGCGTTGGCAAGAATCTCTATCAACGCGTCTTCAAAGTAAACGGTAAAAGGTAATTCACCTTTGCCAACCTGAGCAGTTAAAATTGAGTTGATTAGTGTGTCCTGTCCGTGTTCCACCAGTACCACCACCTTAAGCTGTGCCACTCTTTTGAACTCGTTCGGAAAAGCTTTGTCCAGATAATTCGACCACTTGCGATACGCACTGCTATCGAAGAGATTCGTCGTCACCTTGTCAACGCCCACTTTTTGAAATACCTTGTAGGCTGCTTCCACTTTGTCAGGAGCGTGTCTCAAGTAGGTACTTGGACTAAAGAACCTCATGACCCCAGATGATGCGATCTTTTGCCATATATTTACGGGGTTTAAGTGAGATGCAAAACGTGAAAGTAGCCCCGCCTCT